TTTGGAGGGTGGGAGAGGGCAGAGTTGCGATCCTTCCAGTTTGTGTTCTTCTAAAGGAAAATGGGACTGCCCAAGCTGCTGCTCTGCGAGGCGCGGCCACTTGTTGCCTCTCCGCCCGGCTGGTTTCTCTCGGCCGACGGGGAGGGAAGGGCATTACGTCTCCGCTTCGGTTTTGTTTGTGTTGTTGTTGGTTTTTTATTATTTTTTATGTGTATGTGTGTGTGGAGGATTTTCCTGGAAACCCGAGCTCATCTGAAATATTTACAAAAGTAAGAAACCCGTTGGGGAACTCTTAATTAGACTCCATTAAAAATGAATGGTTACAGGAATCCCCACAGGAAATAAATAATTGAATCTTTTCAATATGTTTAAGGAGTGCCTTTAGTCTGGACAACTTTTCTTCCCCTCTTTTTTTTTTTTTTTCTGTGTGTGTGTGTATTTGTTTTTTCGTTTTGTTTTTTTTTTTTTTTTTAGAGGTCTGCGTTATTCCTCGCTGTGTTTCCGTGGGCGCTGCGGAACAGCCCCCGCGGGACCCTGGGGTGGCCGGCGGAGCTGAGCATCACTTCGCGCTGCCTCTGCTCTGGGGGCCAAGCCGCGTCCCGGCCGGGCCCCACGCGTGCCCTCAGCTCCTCGGGAGGGTCACGGACCTGGTTTGAGTTCGCCACGCCCGGCGACCTCTCAGAATCCCGAGCGGCCGGGATTCCGCAGCGCATCCCCGCCTGCTCCCGCTGCCCCTCCGCTGTTTGTCTCGGTACAGAAGGAAAAGGAAGGGGAGGGCGCTGGTGGTGATGGGTTTGGTTACAGGGCCCTGCTGTGCCGACCCTCAGGAACAGCGGTTTCGGGGGGATTTTGAGCCCCTCGGCTGCCCGAGATGTGCCGGGGGCGGTGGGAGCCGCGTTCCCTTCCCCGCTGCTTTCTGCCCGGCCGGGGCCCCGCGACGCCTCCCGGTCCTGCTGCGTGGATACCCCGGCTCCTGCCTTCCCTGCAGGGACACACGTCCAGCGCGGCCAGGGCTTGCTTCGGGCTCTTACAAGAGGGGGGAACGTTTTGCAAACCACACCGAGATTCTCCTTCCCTGGTGGGATACCTGGCTCCTGGCTGGCCCCTGGGGAAGAGGGATTGCCGGGAGCAGCTGCTGCGGGTCCTAACCCGGGGGAGAGCCCGGGCCGCGCACGCTGCCCCCGCTCAGAGCAGCCCCGGGGCCGTGGGGGGAGGCCCTGGCCCCACGCGCTCCCCCTGGCACTGGGGGTCATCACTTTGCAAGGGAGAACCCAGTATGTTTCCAACCTTCCGCTCAACTCCTTCCGTAACATTTCTGGGGAAATCTGGCAAACCTGTGGCGCTGCTTTCTCCTGTTTGTGCTGCTGCCCTTCGGGCAGGAGCAGAGTTGTTACTAAACTGTTAGCAGTCAGTCAGTAACACGACTTAATAGCTGTGCGAGGAGAAGCAGCCCCATAACCTGGAGGTCCCAGTGGTGGTGTGGTAATGGAGATAGGCAGGCAGGGCTGCAGGCAGCAGCAGGTCCTATTTCATCTCATCTGGAGTCAAACTGTTCCCTAGTGCTCTCCAGAACTGGCAGTGCCAGGATAACTCTGAGCAGGGACGTGTGAAGATCCTGTTCCCCAAAACGAGTTTCCCTCAGCCTTCCCAGACAGATGTGCAGGGCAGGTCTGACAAAAGTGAGGGCTCAGAGCAGGTGAGAAAGTGCCAGCACTGGAACTGTGCTTGATACCTTCAGAGTTGAACTGCAGCTGCATCATTATAAGTAGCTGCTCTTTACATATGAGCTTTCTGGAGGTGGATTCTCCACCATGAAAGAGGAGAAACACCGTTCTTCAAAAGTTTGCAGTATTTTTAAGTTCAAGGTATCCCTGTTTGCCCTAAGCCAGGGCCTAAGGGGGCAGTGTGTGAGCCAGTCCCTGAGGGACTCTTCCTCTGTGTAAACTCCCCTGTTGTCTCTGGAAGCTCCCATCAGTGGTTTGCCTTGTGGCTGCATTTCCTGAGCTGTTGGTTTTGAGATGTCCAGGTAAAATCCTTAGTGCAATTTTCAGCTTCCTAGGGCTAAACTTTATCCTGAAGTTTACAAGCTGTGGTCAGAACTTTTGGAAACAGGCACACACTGGAGGGGGGACAGACCCATTGGAGGCCGACAAGACTAGAACCCAGCCTTGTACATTAAGTACAAATAGAGATACAGCCTCTTCTTCCTGAACATGAGTGTATTTTCATCAGAGAGCCAACAGCACAGAGGGAGAGACATTGCCTGAAAAACAACATTATTTTTTTTTCTTTTCAAAGAGCACTGTTACATCCTTTGCTTGGACTCAGGAAATTTACCTCACGGACAAATACAGGAATAGGTTCCCTTTAGAATTAATGAAGGGATGTTTTATTTGTACTGAGCTCAGTTTACATTTTTGGGTTATCTGGCCATAGACATCCCTCCTGCGTGCATTAAATCCAAATGCCTTTTGAGCAAAGCCCATGTGGGATTTCCTACTCCTGCTCGTGTGGGAGGGATCAGAATCGAGCCATCAATATTCACAGGGGGACCAGGTGAAGTTGCCAACAGTTATGCAGGAGACAGGTTGGCTGTGTGGAAGATGGGTCTGCACAGGATTCTCAGCTCTTGGTAAATGCTGGTTTGTTGTGTGTGGAAAATCATTAGCAACGGTTTGCACAGTTAAAAACCCTGCAATCTTATTCTACGACATCTAGAATAGATACAAGTGCATCCATTGTCCTTAGAACGACAGAGCATCGGCTGTGAAGAGTTTAATAATGTCAGCATTTAAGTGTAATGACAATAGTTAGGCTTTTGCGGTAACACAAATGAAGGGAAGAGTTGAAGATCACGCTTGGTGCTACTGTTAGTTTGCCAATAAAACAGCCTACTGGGTTACATTTTCATGGTTCCTTCCTATGCCAAAGAGCTGCAGAGTTATTTTGTTGCAACAGAAAGTGGTAAGTGAAAATATTTTAAATTTTTGAGACAGTCTGGTTGGGGAGTAAAGTCTAATAAGTTGCAGAGGAATCTGATTGTGGGTATTTTAAGAATATTTTTTAAACCACATGTTTTTGTATTTCTAACATTTTTTTGCTATAAGACGAGTTGAAGACTAAATTCAGGAGAAACATTATCATAAATACTTTGTGAAAGCGTTTATAAACCAGTGCTTTCCCATATCAAACATGAGACTAAGAAAGATACTTTTCAGGAACATTGGAAAGTAGGAACTTATCCTACTGTCTTCCAATGTGAACAGAAAGAATGATGTCTCCGGAATGAATACAGCTGAAAAGCTGAAGTTAGGTGATGCTCAGGACTGGAATGTTGCTGCTATTCTCTGTGCCTGCAAAAGTGAGAAGCTTGATTATGGCTTCTTTTCTACTTATACAGACCTTGATCCTAGGTTTGTTGTAGTCTTGTCCAGTTAAATCAAATAATTCAAATGATTTCTATGGTAAATTTTGTCAGTAAATTGTGACAAAACATTGAAATAATAAAGAGATGAAGTTTGAATCATTTCCTTTTAAGATTTCCCAAGGGTGGTGTGGAGAGCTGCCATTGTAGATCTGTTTGCATGGGGTAATTTAGTGGTTAATGCAGATTAAGTTTTCCAGGATAGTTTCCATATGCTTCTTTATCACAACTTTTTACTGATGCCTCTGGATGCAGTAATAATTGCAACACAGTGGCTTATTTCACAACAGAACGTCCTTGGGATGAGGAATTAATTATTCTTTGCTGTGAATACCATCCACAGCCAATTGCTTTGTGCTGCTAGTCAAGTAAATAGGATTTTAGATTTGCTTCTTTCAAAGACATCCTCAGAAGCCCTTTATCCACTTTATACCTCTGTTTTCCGGTTTCTAAAATATCTATACCTACTTAGTGCAGCAGGGGAGATTGCAATGCATGAGAGTGGGGTCATAGCAAATCCATAAAGAGATGTATTTATACTTTAAAAAAAAAAAAAAAGGATGTACCACAATGCTCAGGATGCTCATCTTTACTGTTGTTGCTAAGTTCAATTATAACGTATTTTTGCCAGGTTAATTTTATTCAGTAACACATCCAAAGTAAGGCAGGTCAGTCTGAGCGTGGTTTGGCCGGGTTTAAAAACGCATTTTTTTAAAAAATGCTCGTTTTAAAACGTGCCGATGTGAGTGAAGTCCCCTCTTCACGTCCACACGAGGAAGAAGTTCTGGGGGTCTGGCACGTTGCCATCCCGGAGCTGTTCGCCCGGTTGATCTGGGAATCCCTACACTTCTTCCCATGCTCCGGCCATCCCGGTTCCCGCGCTGGTGGATCGGCGGGAGCTCCCCTCGGCTGATGGGGTGAGGTGTGAAACATTAACTCCTGCCTAAGCCGGGCTTTTACTGCCAAGGACGTGCCAAGCGAGGCGGGTTCCCGAGCCCCGACCCGCCCTGTGTACGTTCCACCCGGGGCTGGAGGAGTCGGGCACCAGCGGGGAAGAGCTCGGGAATAGGAGGGAAATTAAGCAATTTGAAAAACTTGTGAGCCTCTGTCATTTATCTCTTCTGGGGCTCCTGATTGAGACTTCTGGCCTCGGCGAGCTTTTTTCTTTGTCTCTGTGAAGAATATTATGCATCTTTTTTATGCAGGCCATAGGAAATAGTAGAGCAGTGATTGCACCAAGCCTTCAGGATTTCCCCTTTGTACTAGACTCGGCTTATTC